TGATGATAGCCATTCTGACAGGTGTGAGACAGTACCTCATTGTCGTTTTAATTTGCATCTCAGATGTCTGAGCATTTTTTTTTAAATCCTTACCTGAGGATAATTTTCCATTGATATTCAGAGAGAGTGGAAGAGAGAGGGAAAGACAGAGAGAAACATCAATGTGGGGAGACACATTGATTGGTTGTCTCCTGCATGAGCCCTGACCAGGGACTGGGCCAGGGAGCTTGCAACCAAGGTACGTGCCCTTGACTGGAATCGAATCCCAGGACCCTATGGTCTGCAGGCCAACACTCTATCCACTGAGCCAAACTGGCTAGGGCCTGAGCAGACATTTTAACAATTGTGATAAAGACAGTGTAAATAAATGTATGAAAAAATGCTCACCATCAAAAATTCTTAAGTACATAGAATTAAAAAGAAAGTGAGTAAATACTATACTCATTTATGGTGTTAGTATTTAAAAAGATTAACCATTGCATGTGCTGGCAGGGTTGCAGAAACTGTGGAATTTTCATTACTGTGGGTGGATGGGAATGCAAAGGGAATGGCCATTTTAGATCACAGTTACACATATCTTACAATGTAACACATTCACCTACACAAAAACACTATATACTAGGTGTACCAGTTAATAATGGTGGATTTTGTAATTAAAGAAAACATGATAATTTCAAGAGAAACATCAAAAGTGCTTTATAGTAATGTCCATTGCTAGCTACACATTTCCCCCATCTTTCAGGTCATTTGTGGATACCGTCCCAATAGAACTTTTCTTGTTTTGAGGCAAACCATTCAGACCCAATTTTCCACTTCTTCGTACGTTTTGAAGTGCTGCTCAGAAAGTGCATGTGTCATCTATCGGAACAAATGCTAATCTGAAGGAGCAAGGGCTGGTGAATACGGCGGGGGGGTTAATACTTCCCAGGCAAGATCTTCCAACCTGCCTTTAACAGGTTTTGAAGTGTGTGATAGTGCATCATCATGAAGCAAAATTACTTTGCTGTGTCTTCTGGCCCATTCACCATCAAAGCATGGTTCAAATTGATTATTTGTTGTCGGTAGTGATCAGTATTAACAGTTTCACCTGGTTTTAGAAGCTCATAATACACCACACCTTCCTGACCCCACCAAACGCAGAGCATTGTCTTCTTTCCAAAGCGATTTGGCCTTGCAGTTGATGTTGATGGTTGACCTGGATCGACCTATGATTTTGTGCATTTTGGATTCTCAAAATAAATCCACTTATCATCACCAGTCACAATTCGATGCGAAACAGACTTTCTTTCGTGCCATTTTAGCAACATTTTACTGATGACTTTTCGGTTTTCCATTTGTCTTTCGTTCAGTTGATGTGGCACCCACTTTCCTTCCTTTAAAATCTTTCCCATTGCTTGTAAAAGATCGAAATTGTTTGCTGAGCAACGTTTAATTTTTCTGCACGTTGTTTTTGAGTTTGACACGCATCTTCATCCAATAATGCTTGTAATTGTTGGTCTTCAAACTTTTTCGGTTGACCTGGATGTTTTTTGTCTTTCACATCAAAATCATCTCTTTTAAAATGTTTAAACCAGCATTCACAAGTATCTTGAGATGGAGCATGTTCACCATGAGCTTCCCAAAGTATACAGTAACTTTTTCTTCAATATAATGAATTAAGACTTCCCCCAAATGCTCTTTTTTTGGCATGAAATTCAACTTTTTTAAGCATAAAAATATCTATGATGTTAACACCTTCAGCAAATTTGACATATGAAGTTTTGAAACTTGCTGTCAATACAACAAAATAGCATTCATATCAAATCGCATATATCTCAACATATTAAAAAAAATCCGCATTACAAAATGGTACACCTAGTATATAAAAGGCTTAGTGACCCACAGGTACATATGATGTGCACTGGCAATTTAGAAATAAATGTTGACTTGCGCATGCCTGATACATATAAAGCTCTCACTGACACCAATTGCACGTGTGTTTCCATCTGTCATTGTCGATCATGAATTTGGTTGACACTTCTATTATAGAGAAAGAGTGAATAGCAATATTAAAGTATTTCTTCTAATTAATTTCCTTTCAATGTGCATGAATCTGTGCACCGGGCCACTAGTATCTATATAAAGAAGTGAAAGGCCCTGGCCGGTTTAGTTCAGTGGATAGAGCATCAGCCTGATGATTGAAGGGTCCTGGGGTTGATTCTTGTCAAGAGCATGTGCCCAGGTTGCAGGCTTGATCCCCAGTAAGGGGCGTGCAGGAGGCCGATCAGTGATGTTCTCTCATCATTGATGTTTCCATCTCTCTCTCCCTCTCCCTTCCTCTCTGAAATCAATAAAAATATATTTTAAAAAAGAAGTTAATGCAAATATTCCTAGCTGATTTATTTATAATATCCCAATGCTGGAAATGACCAAAATCATAGACAGATCAATAGATAAAGTGGTAATTCACAGATCACAATACTACTCAGCAGTAAAAAATTAACTATTCACATAAGCATTTGTATTGAATCTCAAAATAACTGTGCAGCATGAAGAAAACCAATATTTGTTAAAGAGTACACACATTATAGTGCTTATAAAATTATAAAAAATATGAACTAATGCATTGTAATGGAAGGAAAATCAATGCCTGCAAGGAGGACTGGGAAAATAAAGAGTGAGATAATAAAGGGGCAGGAGGTAAATATAGGGTGTGCCAAAAGAGTTGTTGGTATGGGAAGTAATACAATAATTAACAAATAATAATACAAGAATTTACTCTGCCCTGGCCAGTGTCGCTCAGTCTGTTGGGCATCAACCCCACACTTAAAGGTCACTAGAACAGGCCAGGGCACATGCCCTCCTCAAACCCCAGTAGGGGAGAGCAAGAGGCAGCTGATTAATGTATCTCTTTCATATAGATGTTTCTCTCTCATTCACCTCCCTTCCATTTCCCTAAAAGAAACAATATAAGTAATGTTTAAAATACTTTTTTAAAAACAATAAACTCTGTGTTTTGGGTGCTCAAAATTGTAAATCTATTTTTGCTCCACCGTGTATATTGGTGACAGATAAGTTTGTTTCATGTGTGACAACTTCGCAGCTTTATATGTACATCAAAGCTCACCAAATAGTACATATTAAAAAAGTGCAGTTTGTTGCATGTCAGTTTTCCTATTCTGGGAGAAAGAACCTTGTCTCAGTGGCAGGAAATACTGGCAAGCAGTGTAGACTATTGCCATCAGAACCAACAGGAGTGCTGAGTGGTTACAAAAGACACAAACTGGGATTGATTATAGGATTATCCTTCCTCTATCTTTGAGTTCTTGCCTGTTGAGCAACAACCTTGAGGTGAACACCCTATAGGGGCCAGGGGAATCCACACCACTTTTATATTATTTTTTCTGCCAGTGGCTTCAGCTACAGGAAATAGTTATGGAGGTCCTCAAAATGTCCTAAATATCATACAAGCCACAGGCCCTGGAATAATTTTGGATTTATGTCCAGAAGAGGCACTTTTCATCTCATTTAACTGAAGTCTCTCCCATTTCCATGAAATCAGTGTTTCTGTCCCAATACTAATTCCACCTCAGAGTATTACAAGTGACAACAGTCTATGGAATTTCATACATCATGGCACATGACCTCTTTGGAGCATGTATAGAGTAGTTCTCTAAACATTGCTGAAACTTATATAATACACGAGAGGCCCGGTGCATGAAATTCATGCACAGGTAGGGTCCCTAGAACTGGCTGGAAATCAGGGCCGATTGGGGCCTTCAGATCACTGGCTGGGGCCTTCCTTCTCCTGGCTGCCAGCTGGGGGCCTTCCTTCATTCTGCGCTGCCCCCTGGTGGTCAGTGAATGTCATAGCGAGCAGTTGAACTCCCAAGGGGATAATTTGCATATTAGCCTTTTATTATATAGGATACTGTGAACAGAGATCATAATTCATATTGTTTGTATAAGCACAACAAAGGCCTCCTCTTTAGGATGACCATTGACCTCACCAATAATGGAGACACCAAACTTCAAATTAAAAACAAAAAGTCATGTACACTTTCATTTAAGGCCTTGGTCAGCAATACAAAATTAGCCAATATTAGACAAAGAGGAATTTTCTGCTATCATGCTATGACTTCCAAAGCACAAAAGTTTGGGACCACACCATATCCATTTATCTCTCCATGCTGACAGATCACAACTTTCCATTCCAATCATCCCAGGCAGTGAGTAGAACCAATGAATTAAAGGTATAAAAGAAAAAAAACAACTTTACAAAAACATAAAAGGAGCAGAGGACAGCAAGCAGTTTGCAGGTTGGTGAATTAGAACCTGAAATAATTCATCACAGCTAATGTGAGAACCACAATGTCCCTGTCAGAAGTAGCACTTCTTAGCTGAGGACAGGTGCTCTGGATGAACCCTGGGTCAGGTGCATTCCCTAGTCAGAGATAAAGGAATGAAGATACTGCTAAGAGGTCATAATAATCATAATTTCCTCAAGTACAAGTGAGAACACAGAATATATTTCCCCTGAGCATACAGGTGATGTTACCAATGCACATTCTTCAGGTGGTAGAAGTGAAATTGTTTCAGCCACAAATACATGCAGTGACATCAATCGGGTATTAGGTCTGGGCAGGTTGGCAAATGCAGATCCTTTAAGCCTCACTTGTACTTGAAGCTTATGAAGAATTTAGCAGAGTGTATGTTTTGACAAAAGGAGTTTATATTTGGTAAATGGGTCCCAAATAATCTCCTTCAGTGTTTTCATTCTGAGTGAGAAAGATGAAATATGATCTGGACATTTAAAGCTTTTCTCCAGTGTGAACTCTCAGGTGTGTGACCAGACTATGTTTGTGGCTAAAATATTTCCCACATACACTAGACCAGCCGTGGGCAAACTACAGCCCGCGGGCCGGATCTGGCCTGCTTGAAATGAATAAAACTAAAAAAAAAAAAAGACCGTACCCTTTTATGTAATGATGTTTACTTTGAATTTATATTAGTTCACACAAACACTCCATCCATGCTTTTGTTCCGGCCCTCCGGTCCAGTTTAAGAACCCATTGTGGCCCTCGAGTCAAAAAGTTTGCCCACCCCTGCACTAGACTCAAAAGGTTTTTCTCCAGTGTGAACTCTTTTCTGTTTAAGGAGGTGATTATTGTACCTAAAAGATTTCCCACATCCACTACACTCAAAATGTTTTTCTCCAGTGTGAACTGTGATGTTGAATGAGGTTAGAGCTTTGACTGAAGGACTTCCCTCAATCACTACATTGATACAGCTTTTCTCCAGTGTGAACTCTGTGGTGTTGACTAAGGTTAGAGCTTTGACTGAAGGACTTCCCACAATCACTACACTCATATGGCTTTTCCCCAGTGTGAACTCTGTGGTGTTGACTGAGGTTAGTGCTTTGAGTGAAGAACTTCCCACAATCACTGCACTCATATGGCTTTTCTCCAGTGTGAACTCTGTGGTGTTTAATGAGGTTAGAGTTATGACTGAAGGACTTCCCACACTCACTACATTTATACGGCTTTTCCCCAGTGTGAACTCTTTTGTGATTAAGGAGGTGACTATTGTACCTAAAAGATTTCCCACATTCACTACACTCATAAGGTTTTTCTCCAGTGTGAATTTTCTGATGTTCAATGAGATTATAGCTTTTGCTGAATGACTTACCACAATTACTACACTCATAGGACTTTTCTCCAGTGTGACCTCCCCTATGTTGATTGATGTTAATAATACATCTAAAAACTTTTCCACATTTGTTACACTCATATTTCACTTCACCAGAGCAGACATCCTGATATTGAACAAATTTATGTCTGTGGCTTGCAGCATTTTCACGTTTGCTACACTGTTGATGACTTTTTCCACTGAGAAATTTCTGTGAAGTCTCACTGCCACTGTGAGGCTCCTCGGTATTAAGAGTTGCCTGGGACTGCAACAACCCTGAGCTGGCTGGCCAGTCTTTCCCAGCTTCCCTAGTGGTTGAAGGCACCCCTGATAAGTAGAAGGTGCAGCTGGTCACAAAGGAGGCCCCATCTATAGCTTCTTCCCAGGGCTTCTCTCCTCGGGTATCCCTCTGTTGCTGGTGATGGTTTACATTGGAACAGAAGTCTCTCACAGATTTGTCACTGAAGAAGGCTTTCTGCTCAATGCATGCTGCTTGTGACTCAGTCAGGTGCAGAATAACTTTTAAAACTGAGAAACACTGTTTACAGAGACGGGTCCTCTGGGTTGCTGTAGCTGTCTTAGAAGCCATAAATTTTGACTCTCCTTGTACAGAAACACTCTCAGCAGAACAGGCGTCCTCCTTTTCTGTCTTATGCCAACAACCTGAAAAACAAAAAATGATGAGAAAATGAATGTTGACTGTGGTGACGGGGGAAATTCAATTACAAAAGTGTGTTGTACACGTTACCTTGGCTTCATGCAACTGGCTGAAAATAAAAGATTTGCAAGAAGGATTTACAAGATGCTGCTATGAAGTTATGGACTACTGAAGATCAAAAACCTCAAATGAAATATGATACAAACATGGCAGGCACTACATGGAACACAAGAGGGATCACACACTCATTCTTCTGCTAACAGCATTCAGCAGGGCTTCTCTGCTAGTGACATGAGCAAGCTGTGTAGAATGTTGGTTACATCTTATTCCAAGTAAAATTCAATAAATGAATAGCTTGTGTCTGAGGTCTACTTAAGCATGTATGTGCACCTCATAACACATGTGCAGGTCAATGTTGGAGAATAATGCAGAGAAAGCCTTGCAGGGGGAAAGGTGATGCAAAATGTTATCTTTTCCCCATTTGCCACTCAACAGGGCCAGGCCTCCTCTGAGATCATCCTGCATGTTCACCTTTAAAAAAACCAGGGTTCTCCCTGCACTTCCATTGTAAAATTATGTAAAACCTAAATATTCCAAGTATTAATGAAAGACAACAGAGGTGAGCAGCCAGCACTGGCCCAGGGAAGCTCAGCATGCAACAGTATTTGGGGAAGAGGATATTACAAAGAATGGAAGGAGAGTCTCACAAGAACTGCCCATGGTTCGTGTAAAGACCATAACCAGGCACAGGCAGTCACCAATGATCTTTAGCAGGAGGAAGGGTGCAGAAGTGGAAGCCAGGGATCTAGACATAGTCACTCTCCCAGGAAATGGAAGTTAAGTTGGGTCCCATTAAACTGTCTCCATGACTGGGGACTTCTACATACTTCCTACACACTTTGAGGCACTGGGTATTAGGGGTGTTTGGTGAGTCCATTGCTCAGGGATCGACACACAGCTCAGCACGTGCATCTACAGCACATTTAACAAGAATGTGGGGGAAATTAGCAGAGCCCCTCCTGTGGTTTGGCTGTGGGAGGGAGAAAGTTACATCTGGAGAAAAAAGGTAGAGAGGCCATCACCTCAGGACAGTAGGAGAATGTGAAAGTCTTACCTACAGATGATACAAGTGCAAAAACTTCCAGCATCACATCGCAGTATAGATGTCTCTGATCCTCATCAAGGAGCCCCCACTCCTCCTGAGAGAAGGCAATGGCCACGTCTTCAAAATTCATATCCTGTTATAATGGGGACACGTGACCCATGATCAGCATCTCTCCTATGATTTTATGTTTATCATACTCCCCACCTTCCACATCCATCCCTCCACATCTCTCCCTCTATTACCTTCATCAAAGGAGGTGTCAGGCCTCCGTCCCATCAAAGTAACTCTCTTCTTATGTTCCAACTGATACTTTGTCTTCCCACAACAATAAAGGCTGATAAGCAGATAGAAGATATCTGAGTTCTGGGCCTCACATGTAGGCCATACTTCCTCTTATCAATACGGTTGATGTCCCCAACATAAGGTAGGGAGAGATTTTGGCCATGAAGAGAGTGTGAATGATTTGTCATTGGTTTTATCAGGCATTCCCTTGAAGTGCCCCAGATTGTCCTCCAAGACCCAGAAAAGCATGGCATCACACTTCACTATTTGGAACTCAATTCCAGGATGCTGAGTCCATCACTTTGCACTAATTCTTTGAAATATAGTTATTTGAAACATGCTCCTCTCACACAGCCTATTTCCCAGAGTCACAACTTCAAAGAAAACAAATACATTGTAATGAGGCCAGGTTTTGTCCTAATCACCTCTTTCCCAAAATTCTAAATCACCATTCTGTAACGTATTTCTCTCCTACCCTCCGCCTTCCTAATGCCAGTGGAGATTTTCAAGCCCAGGTGACACTGATGTATGCTATCGTATTCCTAATGATCACTGTATCAGCCCTCAACAACTGACAGGTGTGCACACACATGACACCTAAGCTCTGCATATTGCATGTAGCATGGCAAAACCCCTCTTTTCAGACAATTACACTAAAATTCCACTAATTATATCAGCCAAGCACCACCAAAAATGGATTCACCTTTCATTCACTCTTTAGTCAATGTAAAGACCCTACTGTCATGAACTAACATACCCTCTCCAAGTGCACATTAGTCTTTTTAGCACAACTCTCTCACACCTGCACTCCCATAGCCCTCTCCCCCATAATCATCTTCTTAACCTCCTACTCGTTATTTGGCATGTTGTGGTCCAGAGAATGAATGCCTGGTCAATGCAAAATGGATGAAGTACTTCGTCAACTTTGGTAGTCCACACTCAAAGAAGCAGCCTTGAATCCTTATATAAAGCCCTCCCTCCCTGAGAGCAGGGTAACGATTAAAGAACCAGCTCTGGGGAGGTGACCTCCCCAAACCAGTTTTAAGTGCAATAGCGAAAATAAACCCCTGATACTGGGTAGAGAAGCCATATAGCCTCAGAGGCCAACTCAAAAACACTGCCACCCAGAGGCTGAGCCACAGACTGACTCTTAGGTAAATACAAATTGAGACAGTCTGGGACACAAATACGGCCTGCTTTAGAACCAGGACTGTGGTTTACAACACGGAGGAACAGTGTATCGCAGGGAAATTCAACACCCTCCTGAATACCTGGAAAGACCAAGGCGAGCCAGACTGAAGAGTAGAAGAACCGAAGGACCTTCACTACTGCAATTTTTTTTTCTTTTTTCACCTTTTAACTAAGAAACCAATTTCTTTTTCTTCTTTTTCTGCTTTTTCCATCACCTGATTTTACCCTTTTAATTACTACATTTTTTTTTAAACCAGTATTATTACTGCTACCATTTTACCATTTTTTAAAATACCATTTTATTTTCTCTTTATTTTATTTTGGGATTTATTTTATTTTGGGATTAGTGTTCTCCATTCTATTTTCATCCTTTTTTTTCCTTTCTTTTCTTTTCTTTTTTCTCTTTTATCTTTTTCTCTTCTTTCTTCCTTATCCCCTAATACTCTTAATTCGGGCGGTAACGTTTATTTGAGGTTATTAATATAGTGAATATATTTGTGTTCAGTGCCTGGTACGTGTGCCTTGTTGTGTTGTATTATGTGCCCTTAAATCAACGCAGCAAATCCAAGCAACAGCAGCCTCCTGATCACCACACCCTCTGAGGATCAGCAGCTGTACGTGAAGCCTCCCCCCACAAGCCAGAAGAGCCACCAAAGCTGTGAACAGCACCCACCAGAGGAGCTGCTGCCAACTGAGGAGCAGCTGCTACCGCAACCACCCGAGGAGCCACTGCCACCCAGGGAGCAGCCACTGAATGACTCAACGTCTAGATATGTAAGTGAGATCAAACATGGGTAGACACAGAAACCCCCAAAGGAAAAAAAAGGAGGACTTGCCAGAAAAGCAGCTAAGTGAAACCAAGGCATGCAGCATGACAGAAAAAGAATTCAGAATAAGGTTCCTAGAGTGCTTAAACCGGATGGAGGAAAAAAATCAACAACATATACAAGAAGCAAGAAGAAACAGATGAAAAAATCAACTACTTATGCAAGAAGCAAGAAGAAACAGATGAAAAAATCAACAACTTAAGTAAGACCCAAGAAGAAATGAAGAGTGATATAGCTGCAATAAAAAACACCATTGAAAATATCAACAGTAGACTAGGAGAAGCGGAGGACTGAATTAGTGAATTAGAAGACAAGGAAGCAAAACACACCCAAACTGTACTGCACTTGGAGAAAAAAATTAAAAGACAGGAGGAGAGCCTAAGGGAGCTTTGGGACAACATGAAATGAAACAACATATGAATAATAGGGGTGCCAGAACAACAGAAAGAGGAACAAGGATTAGAAAACCTATTCGAAGAAATAATATCAGAAAACTTCCCTGAGGTGGGGAAGAAAAAAGTCACACAAGCACAGAGAGTCCCAAACAAGGTGAACCCGAAAAGACCCACACCAAGACACATCATAATTACCATGGCAAATGGTCAGGACAAAGAGAGAATCTTACAGCCTGCAAGACAGAGATGGAAAGTTACATACAAGGGATCTCCCATTAGATTATCAAATGATTTCTCAACAGAAACACATCAGGCCAGAAAAGAATGGACGGAAATCAACAAAGGGATGCAAAGCAAAGGACTGAATCCAAGAATAGTCTATTCAGCCAGGCTATCATTCAAAATTGAAGGGGAAATAAGAAGCTTCACAGACAAAAAAAGGCTAAGGGAGTTTATCACCACCAAGCCAGCAATGCAAGAAATGCTAAAGGCACTGGTATAAAAAGAAGAAACAAAAAGCTCAGAAAGAAAACAGCCACACACAAAAAAAGAAATGGCTACAAATAGGTTTCTTTTTTTTTTTAATTAAATCTTTATTGTTCAGATTATTACATTTGTTCCTCTTTTTTCCCCCCATACCTCCCCGCCTCCCAGTTCCCGCCCCACCCTCCGCCCTCACTCCCCACCCACTGTCCTCATCCATAGGTGCACGATTTTTGTCCAGTCTCTTCCCGCATCTCCCACACCCCTTTCCCCCCCAAGAATAGTCAGTCCATTCCCTTTCTATGTCCCTGATTCTATTATAATCACCAGTTCATTCTGTTCATCATATTATTTATTCACTTGATTCTTAGATTCACTTGTTGATAGATGCATATTTGTTGTTCATAATTTGTATCTTTACCTTTTTCTTCCTCTTCCTCTTCTTAAAGGATACCTTTCAGCATGTCATATAATCCTGGTTTGGTGGTGATGAACTCCTTTAGCTTTTCCTTATCTGTGAAGCTCTTTATCTGACCTTCAATTTTGAATGATAGCTTTGCTGGATAAAGTAATCTTGGTTGTAGGTTCTTGGTATTCATCACTTTGAATATTTCTTGCCACTCCCTTCTGGCCTGCAAAGTTTCTGTTGAGAAATCAGCTGACAGTCGTATGGGTATTCCCTTGTAGGTAACTGAGTTTCTTTCTCTTGCTGCTTTTAAGATTCTCTCTTTATCTTTTGCTCTTGGCATTTTAATTATGATGTGTCTTGGTGTGGTCCCCTTTGGACTCCTTTTGTTTGGGGTTCTCCGCGCTTCTTGGACCTGTAAGTCCATTTCTTTCACCAGGTGGGGGAAGTTTTCTGTCATTATTTCTTCAAATAGGTTTTCAATATCTTGGTCTCTCTCATCTTCTGGCACCCCTATAATTCTGATGTTGGTACGCTTGAAGCTGTCCCAGAGGCTCCTTACACTATCCTCGCATTTTTGGATTCTTTTTTCATTCCGCCCCTCCGGTTGGGTGTTTTTTGCTTCCTCGCATTTCAAATCATTGACTTGATTCTTGTGCTCCTCTGGTCTGCTGTTGGGAGTCTGTATAATATTCGCTATTTCAGTCCGTGTATGCTTAATTTCTAGTTGGTTCCCCATCATAACATCGAGGGTCTCATTAGTTTTCTTGTAGATCTCATTAAGTTTATCGGCGGCTTCTAAACAGTTCTTGAGAGACCTTAAAAGTGTGGTTCTGAACTCTATATCTTCCATTGACAATTTTGTCCTGTTTCTTTGTCTCCGAATTTTGTTATGCTTTCTTGGTGCACCCCCTAGTGGTCTTTGTGCGCAGTCTTGTAGTTAAGCCTTAATTGTTGTAGCTAATACCAGGGAGGGTTTGACCTCCAGGCCAAGTGGCTGTGAGAATCAGCTGTGTCTGCAGTGAGAGAACTTCTGTCCTCTAGGGAGGTGCTAATCTAGCCTTTGCCTGAGGCTATCTGGCAAATGCCTCTGTGCAGGGCTTGGGTGGGGCAGGTGGCACAGGATCAACAGGGTGGGCCTGAGAGAGCAGTTATGGCGGCTCTCAGTTCTGTCCCCAGGGGCTCTGCCTCTCTGAGTCCCAGCTACTGCTGCAAACCTCGGAGAGAAAGCTGCACTCTCTCTGATCGAAGCCAGACAGTCCCGCTTCTCCCGTTTGAGTCTGGGTCCCTGAAGACTCGCCCGTATCTGGAGCTCAGAGTCTGCGACTCCCTCCCGATTGAAAACGCCAACCGCGCCCTCCGCCGCCAGCTCACTCCGCGCACTCCGCACCTCAGAATTTGACTTCAGCACTGCGCCTCCTCTGAGTGTCCGTATGCGTTTCTCTTTCCTCCTAGTTGTAGGACTTCCACTCAGCCAGCGTTCCTGTGGTTCTGGGTGATGTCCATTCCGTCTTGTAGTTTCACTTTTGAAGTAGTTGTTCAAGGCAGC